TGTCTCCCAGGGGCTGGTCCAAGCAGAAGCAGGGGGAGCAGAAACCATGTTCCTCCTAATGTATGAGAACAGTAAATGCTCTCTTGACAGAATGCCATGAGTTCTCTCTCTCTCTCTCTGGTGCCCTACTCCTTCCAAGCCACCAGCTGTCCAGTGTTTATAGTTCCCATGCATTCAGCTTTCTTAGAACCCTTCGGTGGAAGAAAGTTCCTGTGTTCATCTAGTAAATGGAGGAAACGTCACAGCTCACTCAGGCCCCTGTGGCTTCAGAGCATTGACAAATGCAATCTCTGGCTGGCACTTAATTTATTTCCCCTGCAGGCTGGTGATGGAACATGTCTTTCTCTACTTTGTTTATTCTTATTTTTTTCATGAACAATTCCCATAATTTCCCCCAAAACCTTCTCTAATTTCTTCTCATTTTCTGAAAACCAGAATGTAACTATCAACCGAGTGCACTATTTTAATAAAAATTCCATTTGGAACTTTGGTCAGGTAGTACACAGCATTCCTCCTTCTTTCTTGCCTATCATTTGCCTTCAGCCTCATGTTCATGTCTTATAACTGAGAGGAAGGAAGGAAGGAAGGAAGGAAGGAAGGAAGGAAGGAAGGAAGGAAGGAAGGAAGGAAGGAAGGAAGGAGAGAGGACTAAACATGATGTTTGCTCTTTTTTTATCCTAGTGTCCAGGAGGCTCTTTCCTGTAACACACCTGCAAGATGGCATCCAGAATGTCCCCACAGACAAGACTGTCAAATTGCACCCCTGCCCAACCTTTGGCTTCTCTGTTTCCAGCTCTTTTCCTTGATGTTTCTATTCCTCAAAACTTAGGGAGAAGGTATAAGGTGAGCCTCTTGACTTGCTGGAACCACAATTGACTTTCCTCATCGAAACCAATTACATTCCCTCTTTTTCCCATGCAGTTGTCTTCTAAAGGTCCATCAATAACATTCTTCTACAAATTTACCTTTACACTCAGCCATGAAGACCAAGAATCAGAAACTAACATCATGGAGATGCGGGTCTCACTTCCAATCCTCATCAGGTGAGACGGCATATGTCTGTAATCCCAGAACCCAGGAGGTGAGGCAGGAGGATCAGGAGTTCAAGGTGATCTTTCCTTTCATAGCAAGTTCAAGGTCAGCATTTATGTGAGACCCTGTCACACATTTCTAATCAATCATAGATAAAGAAGCATAAAGGCACCTTGTTCCCAGCTGACTTGGGTCTGAATTCAGCACATAATCTGACAGGAGAAAGCATGGAAGTTGACAATTTTTTTTTGAAAGAGAAACGTTGACATCTCTCCCCGTCATGAAATCCTCCGGCTGTGTAAGGATCTGTCTGCTGTCTGCCCATCCACTTGGCAAGAAAGGTAAACACCGGCCCTTCCATGTGTCATGCAATACCTGGCAAGAGTGCATGGCTTACAGTCTAATTACCTTTGGGAAGGAAACTAAGCTGTGCCTAGGGCGAGGTGAGGATCATTTTCTGCTGCCTCAGAAAGTCATAATTAATTTTGAAGCAATTTAAAATGATGCTAAAATATTGCTTGAAGAAGGCAGAGGGAGGCTTGAGGGTTTGAGTCAAGGGTAGTAATTATGCCTGCAATTGTTGTGGGCTGCCAAGCGGGGAAGATGCTCCTGAACCTCTTCTGCCTTTCACTGGGTAGAAAGAGCTCTGAGGTATAACGAAGTGGCGCATTTCCAGGATCAGTTACCCTCCCAACTCTGGAAATGTTTATTCTTTTACAGCCTTATGCCGCAGACAAGACATGTGACTCAGTTGGTAGAATGCTCGCCTAGCATGCACCATAGGCTGCGTTCAGTACCCAGTGCTGCATAAATGAAGCAGTGCAGCACACGCTTGTAATTCTAGCACTCGGGAAGTAGAGGCAGGAGGATCAAGAGTTCAAGGGTCACCCTCAACTATATAGTGAGTTATTAGAGGCCAGTGTAGGCTCTGTGAGGCCTATCACAACAACAACAAAAACCAAAGATTGAAGAAGAAAGAAAGATTGATGTTAATTTAAATCAACAAATGTCTCCCAATGCCAAGTGGCCAAAGGATGGCAAGAGGAAGAGACTCCAGACAGGTCCAGATGGCGAGGCACAGAGAGTGTCCCTGGAAGGTAAGTCCTGGGAGAAGAAGGGAGCACATTTCCAGTGCACATTTCCAATAAGAAACCACATCGAATTCCTCACAAATAGCTCTTTCATCTCAAGAGAGTATGAGGATAGGAGGAGTGGGGTAGGTGGAGGAACAGAACAGGAACATTGTTTAAAACACCCATGAGCTTTTTAAAGATTTTTTAAAAAATTTTTTTTAAAAATTATGTGCCTGGGTGTTTGTGTGTGGGTGTGTGTACAGGCATACAGACACCCTCTAAGACCAGGAACATCAGATTGCCTTAGAGCTAGAATAATGGTGTGAAACACAGATGTGAGCACTGGCAATCAAAGCTTGGTCCTCAGCAAGAGTAGTGCCTGCTGTTGACCACGGATCCACCTCTCTAGCCACTCCCCAGTGCAGCATTTTAACTAGGAGTGAAAGAAGATAGATTTGCCAAAGGGGAAAGGACAGTGGCTCTGTGACTTTATGTTTCTATTAACCTGGTTTTCACTTCCCTCAAAGCCATGAGACAACCTGACACAGAAACCTAAAATGGCTTTGAACAGCCACCTCTCCACATACAGCCCAATACTAAAATGTTGGACTCCAAGCCTGAGTCATCACTTGCTCTCAGTTGGCATGAGCTGCCAAACAGGCAAAGGCTGCAAGCAGTCTTCCCAGCTTGATGTAGGAGATGAAGGCTACTCAGCCAGAAGGGAAAAAGCCTGTATTCACAGGAGAAAACTCAACCCTCAGCCTGCGTGTCACTTAAAGCTTTACCTACCCAGTGGCTGCTGGGTTATTGTGGAAATAAACTTCTCCTCCTCGCAGAGAAGAGCCTACATCCTGGAGTTAATTTAGGACTTTCCTGGATTTCTCTCCTAATAAGGATAATAATTTCCAACTAATGAAAGCTATTAAGTGGGCGTGAACAGCACTCTCCCAAACATCTTGGGACTGTAGAGCCGGGTCATTTGAGGGATGGTGAGGCCCTATGGTCCTTCCCCTTTGTGTCTACAAAGTACAGTGCCTGCCTTGGCTCTAACAGGGACCTCTTCTCTACGTGGAGTGCTGGCTCCCTGAGTAACTTCCTCTGACCTTCAGATAAGCCAAACAATGATATCGTGTCACGTTCTCCATAGTGATGACCGCTGGTTCTCACCAAATTACTTACCATTCCAGACTCGGAATCAAGAACAGTCACCTAAAGTGTGAAATCCCACCATGAAAGGAGCAAATGGAAGCTTCACTGGACAGCAGTGTATGACATTATAGAGGGGAAAGCCATAGTACTTAGAAGTCATAGGGAACTGTATTAGTAATACTAAGTCTTCGGTTCTTCAAGGTCAGCATTGGGAACAGAGGACCTAGTGAACTTCTATAGGATAAGGACTAGTCAAATCCAGCAAGCATGTTGCTTTTTAAAACTCATGTTGTCCATTGATTAAAAAGCCTGATGTCAGTTAACATGCTGGCATGTGCTACAATCCCAACTCTTGTGAGGTAGAAGCAGTAGGATCAGAAATTCAAGCCCATCTTCAGCTGCACAGGGAGTTGAAAGCCAGCAGAGTCTACTTGAGCAATTGCCTCAAAGGAAGATCTGATTTCAGAAACAACATACTTGTGGGAAAGTACTCTTTAGGCCAGACAGCCTCTGGGCTTGCTGAGAGGTCTCTAAATCATAGCATCCCTTTGCAAAGGTCTCAGGCACAGAGCCTATACCAGATCTGCCCTGACTCTCATCCTCCAGGTCTCAATCCCTGCCCTAAAAAGCAGAAAAAAGATGATCCTGATGATGTTGTCACCCGAGGGTTCCTGAACCTATGGGTGGACAGGGAGTGGGAACCAACTGGAAGAAAGCCTTGGTCAAGATCATCAGAACTGGAAGTGAGCTACTACTAACCATGCTGGGAGGAAAGGGTGGCCTAGGCCAGGGGGTGCTCTGCAGTGAGCATGCTCACATAATGCCATTGATCGATAAGGAAATACGGGTGCACTGGCCTTCTCCTTTTGTTTATACATAGGAAATATTTTTTTTCTTTCAAAATTACACTTTTTATAAATGAGTCCAAACTATGAAGGGAGCACGGAGAATTACTACAATTACTGACCAGAGGAAACCAGACCAATCCTGCCAGGCCTGGAGGACTTTACAGAGTGGCCTGTCAGAGCCTGGAGCCTGACTGAGCATGCGTAGTCTGCATGCGTAGGAGCTAATGGGAAAATAACCAGAGAAAAAATCTGTGGGCCTTTTCCCATCATGGTACTTATGACATTGAGTTCACCCGTGACGTCAGTGTAGGACCATCGGCTGAGGCCCTTGTTAAACTTGTCAGATATAGACAGGCACTGTGTGCCTTTTGAGAAAAGCAAACACCCAAGAATCATCTTCCAGCAAAAGCTCTGAGTCATTGTAAGTTTGATTCTACTCTCTGTTTAACCTCAAACAGTCCTTGCAGTTAAGTCCACTTGGTACACAGATGGAATTGTGTTTATTAAAGCCAACCGCCAGCTTCGAATGCCAGTTCAATGGAGAAAGTGAGTTCAGGGTGCCCATCGCTCACTGAGTAACTAGAAGCCTTGCAGAACCTCCCAGGAGTTTTGTCACGTGGTTCACTTTACAGACACCTCTTTCTTCCCCTTCATGTCTGGCCCTGGGCTGGTGGCCCTTCCACACCGCCAAATTTGAGTGAGCTCTAACACCAGCACGTGTCTTACATGTCTCTTACATAGGCCCCCATGTCTGTTGGGACCCTGGCCCTTAGAGGAGCCAGAAGGCAAAGGGTCCACCAGGCCACAGGGAGGCAGAGGTGTCTGTTTCCTCAGCCCACATTACACATGGTCCTGCGTTGACACAGAGCCGCCTGACCCCCATGGATGATGTACTCACCCTGCAGTGGCCGGTTCTTGTACAGGTCCCTGGCCTTCGCTGGGTGAGCTCTGGCTGTGTTGTCACACTTGGGCTGCTCATACCTAGCAGCAGGGATAAGAGAGACAAGAGTGGGGTTGAGACCTTTTTCACATCTAACAAGCTACATACAGCTTTAGCCCAAGAATCTTCCGTAAGACCCACCCTTGTATCACAGCCCTGTGATTTAACTCCTTGGTGGCTTGAGCACACATTTCCTAGATCAACTTACATCTACAGTCAACAGGACAGGGGCTTGCAGCTTAACAAACATGGTCAGGCTTGGCCCCTTAATCTAGTTCCAGAGAGAGTCTTGTCTAGTAGTTCCTGAACCATCCATGACCCTCCCCCATCTTCTACCTTGTGACTTCACACAAAGCAATTTTCATGCTCAGCTGTCTCCTGGAGTGTTTTCAAATGCATGGGAGTGAGCACTGCGGACATGAATGGAGCAAAGGTCTGGCCACCTGGCTATCTTCAGAAAGGAGCTAAGGTCTCAGAAAGAACTTAGACCCCACAGTGATATCATTGAAAGGCTAACTAATTTTCAGTCCAACTCATGGAGCTACAAAAATTTGTCCAGACATTTAAAAAGAAAAGAAAAAAGAAAAAAGGAAGGAAGGAAGGAAGGAAGGAAGGAAGGAAGGAAGGAAGGAAG